TGATGAGGATACGGATGCGGATGCGCATGCGGATGCGGGTGCGGGTGCGGGTGCGGGTGCAGGTGCAGATGCAGATGATGATGATGATGATGATGATGATGGTGATGGTGATGATGGGTGATGCTGATGTCGTTGATGATGATGATGATGATGATGACGATGACGACGACGAAGCCCCTGGGCCCAAGCACTTTGAGAGTTGAAGGCCGACCGCTGCTCATGAGCGATGGAGAAGGTACGGATGGCCTCCGTACCCCGAGTACGGAGCGCACTCCGAGGGCGCATGACCGTGATGGCCCTCCTGATGCTGCTGAGGCTGCTAAGCGTATGGGACCGCCACCGCCTCCAGGAGCCTACAATGACAGGATCGACCGAGACACACCGCCGACTGCAGCCTCGTCAGATGTGCCAAGCAGCCACACCAATGTTGCTGCACCTGCCGAAGCACCTGCAGCTGCCGAAGCACCTGTGGCTGCCACAGGCGGAAGTTCATCCTCCAGTGAGGACGGGGACTCTGATGACGCTGGTGCCGCCTCCGAGGCGTCCTGCACGTGGTCCGAAACCAGCTTGGTCCTGCAGAACGAAGAACTGGAACAAGCCGTGGAGCGCCTGCACACCCTTTATCGTCTCGAGCTCCAAGCTCGAGAGGTACCGGCAAAATCGCAGGCTGGCTGCCTTGGAGGACTCCGACGCAAGACCAATGGGGCCACATGGCCTGCTGTGCAAGCGGAAGCGCCCATGCGCCTCACAGGCGCTAGACTCAGAGAATGGCAAATATATGAGCACGAGAATACCCACGAACGACGCCGCCGCCACCGATCAAGATCTGCCCGACGAGATGACTAGCAGCTGGCGCTACTGCAAGCCCCGTAGCCTGCGTGCACAGCTCTTCCAAAGACCTTGCCATTTGCATCCCTACTCCTCCCCTAAGAACCCTAAGAACCTGTGCAAACACAGGCGCTTGCTGCTACCGCAACGGCACAGCGGAGCGGATGGAGACACAGCAACGCCAGGACCTACCAACCCCGAGGGTTCCTTAGGTTTAGGCCCCACGTACCCATCTCAGAACACCTCTCATGGTTCTATAGGCAAAGGTTACATGTACCTTTCAAAGCTGCCGGGCCCCTCCGGTCCCAAGTCCGGAGGCCGTAGACACATTACACGACCCTTCGAACTTTTGGTTCTTTACGCTACGGTTGGGGTGAGGGTTTCCTCTGCTGTCGTGATGGAGGAAAGACCTCAAGATTGGCCTGGCCACTCTTGGGGCAAGCCGTACGACCCTGCGCAACCAGGCGGGAGAGACAGTAGAGTTATACACTCAGACTTCACACATAGTGCAAAAAGAGCCTACAAAAGGGCATGCCATAGAGCCAACACCTCCTTATTGGAGGGTACCATGTACAAGGGCCGATGGCACACGCGCCAATCCCTTGCCTCTATGTACAGAAAGCACACAGAAACCGTCCCAGCTCCACTCCAGGTTGGATCCAGACGAGGGCGAGAAGCCATACGGCCAGCCAGGCCCATGCCGCAACTAAGGGTTTTTAGCTGGAACACTAGTGGCCTCAGCTCTCATGTTTACCAGGAACTGGTTGCGTGGATTGATCTAAATGGGCCCTGGGATGTCATAGTGCTTCAGGAAACACATTGGAGGGCCACAACTGACTACATCAGTGGAGGGTGGAACTGTGTGCACACCTCAGGGCACGATGCTAAAGGAGGAGTAGACCGCAGTGCTGGCATTCTTATCATGCTGTCAAAGCAGACCTTCACTGATGTTGCTGTGTCTGAGCATACTGCAGGGCGTCTCCTGCAGATTCGAGCCATGCACAAGCAAAGCCAACTTCCGGTTGACATCATTGGGCTTTACCAACATGTCTATAGGTCACACCTTAGTGCTGAAGCTAACAAAAATATCAGAGGCAAGGTTTGGACAAGACTTCAGGCCGTTCTGCACTCTGTTCCCTCAAGGCATCAAGTTGTTGTGGCAGGCGACATGAATGCCACAGTGCAGCCAGCTCACCCTCATGTAGGGTATGCAGTGCCAAAGAATGACGTGCCACATCACCAAGACCCCGATTTTCAAAACCTGCTGATGGAACATGACCTCTGTGCCCTCAACACGTTTCATGCCAAGCCGGCATTCACCTATGTTTCCACCACCAGCCAAAGCCAAATCGACTTCGTCTTGGTCAGAACCAAAGATGCTAGAGGAGGAGCCCGTACTGCACAGCCCATTCGCGGGTTCCCCGTCACGGGGGGCCGCCTGGCCAACCACCTGCCCGTCCAGGCCACGATCCCCATGATTCCGTTCCAACGGCAGCCCGCCAAGCGTGCTACTCCGAGGCCCCAGTTCGATGTTGCCGCACTGCAATTGGCGGTTCGCGCTCAGCCTCACTCGGCCCAGGCACAGGAGTTGCGGCAAGCGGTCGCCACCAGAGTGGCCGGTGTCTCGGAACACGGGCAACCAGACTATGTCCACCAGCAAATAAATGATATCCTCCTGGAGGAAGTCTCCCGGCTCTTCCCGATGCAGCCCAAGCCTGCCTGCCGTGTTAGCAATCATCCAGCCTTCAGAGCGAGTGCCACTCACACCTGGGCGCTGTACCGTCGGATGAAAGGCCTTGCGGGCCGGTCAATCCAGGAGGTGTGGAACAAGTGGAGGGCTTATGCCAGCTTTCTTCATGCCTCGAGGCAGTTAAGACAGCAAAGCAAACAGCTAAAGGCTGCCTACCACCATGATCAACTGCAACAGGCTGAACAAGCAGCTCGTGTAGGAGACCAGAGAGGACTGTACAGGGTCATACGTCAGCTTGCACCGCGCCGCATACGAGGAGTCTCCCGCCTTAAAGGAGAAGACTGCCACATCCTGTCAGCTCCGGAGGAGCTTGCTGCAGTAATAGCCTATAGCAAGGCCACCTTTGCCCATCTACCGGATGACACGCCGCAACAAACCATCACCTCCGGCTTGATGTTCTCCGAGGCTGACATTGTGCATGAATTTGCGGCGCTTAACCCGTACAAAGCTGTCCCGCAACACATCGCCCAAAACGCTGCTTGGCGCCTCTGCGCAGGAAGTCTCGGCGGCAAACTCACCGAAGCCCTTAACTGGCACTTTCGTGCCGGCAACCCAGAAGTGCTCAAAGGCGACATGCGAGACACGTACGTAGCATGGCTGCCAAAGCCCTCCAAACCTCCCACGGAGGTCGGTTCCCTTAGACCCATAGGGCTTATGCCGCCTTACCCCAAAATCCTTGCAGGTCAGCTTGCCCAGCGGATACAATGGCTGATCCGCCCACTGCTGGATCACCTGCCGCAGTATGCCTACTGTGCAGGCCGTGGGTGTGCCGACGCCATCTTTAGGGTGCATCGCCACTTTGATGAGGTTGATCAGCTTCTCAAACAGAATCTCGATAACCGCTTCAAGCGAAGGCAGGGGACCGACGTGCTCCGATGCGCGGGAGGCGCATGCCTCTCCTTAGACCTTTCCAAGGCCTTTGACTCAGTAAGCCGCAACCTCCTGACCTCCTCACTCCAGGACCTGAGCATCCCTGCGGATATCGTGGCAGCCATACAGCAGCTGCACAAGGAGGCCTGTTACCATTTTGATGTTCGCTCCCAGACAGGCAGCGCAACCACCACAAATGGCATCAAACAAGGCTGCAGAGTCGCCCCAATTCTCTGGGTTTGCTTTAGTATCTCCTTGATGCAGGGGCTTAGCGGACATAGGGACTTAGCTTGGGTACAACGAGTTCTTACCCTCTTTGCAGACGATTTCTGCGCATGCTGGACCCTCACCAGCAAAACAGATTTCGCACAAGCCGTTAGGGATATTGAACTCTTACTTGAGCTTCTTACCATTTTCAAACTTACAGTCAACTATAAGAAAACTGCTTTCCTACTTCGACTTGAGGGCAAGGATGCCAAGCGCTTACTTTCGTCGTACGTCTACCAAGATGATGGGCAGCAGTATCTTCGGTTGTCGGTGTTTGGTAAGACACAGTCCCTGCAGATCCGTGATTCACACGAGTACTTGGGAACCAAGATTGCTTACAAAGATCGAATTGATCTGAACACTGCCCACAGAATCGAGGCAGCACAGCACAAATACAGCATGATTCGCAAAGTACTCAATGGTCGGGGCCCACTCAGCACGGGCCACAAACTCCGCATGTGGCAGGCATGCATTTGCACCAGCCTCGTCTACTCCCTGGAGACGGTCGGCCTAACTGCTGCAGGTGTGCATAAGCTGAATGTTCTGGCCACCAGACATATCCGTGCCATTACCAAACAGCCGGCACATATAACTCACGTGTCCAATGAGGACGTATGGCAAGCTTCGCGCCTGGTGCCTCCAGGCCAGCTTGTATTGCAGCGTCTCAGAAAATTCTGTGCAACACGTGATCCTTGGCAGTCGGCCCAGGGGCCCGACATTGTGACCAATGACCAGGTCTAGGCTGGCCTCAAATTGCTGCTGGATGACCTTGAGCGCATAGTGCAGCAACAGGATGCGGCCTCACAGGCCGAGGTTTCTCAGCACGTCAGACTGCCCTGCCCGCACTGTGACAAGGTGCTGGACTCAGAGCACGCCCTAAAGATACACATAGCCCTTAAACATGGCTCAGAGCACACACAGGCTCCCGTTCGACATACCTTCAAGGCGGAGGCGCACTCCGTCGCGGGAATGCCAACCTGTAAACTCTGCCTCAGAAATTTCATGAAGTGGAGGCAGCTCCGCCTCCACGTTGAGCTTGGCTCATGTCCCATCCTTGGAGGACAAAGCTTCAAGCTGCACCCGGTGGCACCTGACAACCACCTGCTCAGGCGACAAAGTGCTGGACATGAGAAGCCGGTGACAACTGTGCAGGCAGAGCCGCAGGAGCAAAATTTCCCGGATGCCCTGCCCTTAGTGCTTGACCCGTCCTTTCACGCCATTGTGCCGCACTGGGATAGGCTTTTAGCTTGCTCCGCTACCAAAGCCCGCCTCAAGCATCACTGTGTCATTTGCAACATGTGGATCATGGACTACCGTCACATCCGCCAACACTACAACAAAACTCACCACTCCCACTACCCACACTTACTTCCCGAAGCGCTTGAGCTGAGCAAGACGTACAAAAGCCACCTCACCAGAGGGAGATCGTGCCGTTGGTGTGGACATTCCGTAGGCGCCCCAGGCAGGCACTCCACACAGTGTGTAGTTTTGAACCAGCTTGCACTGGCCGCCTGCTACTGCAGACACAAACATCATGTTCAGGACCATGAATGCAGCAACAGCGGAGGCGGAGATCTTCCGCTACTGCATGCCGTTCGGACAGGCGCAGGGCTCAGCAATCAAGACCGAGCCACAACCAGACAATCCTCAGAGTGGCAACAAGAGACAGCGCCCAGCCTGGCCACAAAGACGGCCACAACGTCCGACTCCGGGGGGCTACCACGTCTCCCAGGGGACTGCACTCCAGGACCCCACGGTGCAAATCATGGGCAAACTGCTATTGAAGCACGAGCAATTCATCTCCCACCTCCGCCGGGACATGGGTTATGTGATGTTCTTCAAGCAGGGAGAGCAAAGCCTGATACCCTCCCTGATGGAAGTAGCCAAACAGCACCGGGCCATGACGGATGCAGGCTCCACCGACCTCCAATCCCCGCTGGGGACACTTCTTCTGAATTGCCTCCTCCGAGAACTACTTCAACGAGCCCAAACGGTCTCAGCAACGGAAGAAGGACGCAACAGTCTGCAGCAAGCCCAGTGGATGAACAAGGACGGACAATGGAACTACATGCGGTGGGACACCAAGCAACGCCGCCTAATCCCAGACACCAGGCGGGATCCGCTCTCTCACGAGAATGCCATCCGGACGATCACGGAGCTTCAGGGGAACATGCTGGGGGACATTGTGCACCGCTTCCAGTCGTCGCAGGGATTCAGCAGAATCGAGGAGGAGGGTCACTCCCAAGTGACCTTCTCCATGATCATCTCCCTCCGCCACCCGGCAGCGTACGA